ACCCGGTGTGGAGTTTTAACTTGTCACCCCCATATTGAACAAAATATAAAATTATTGAGGAAGCAACTTTTTTATTCAATTGGTTAAGTAAAGAGGGCATGGTGTTAATTATTTTGAAAACATTTTTTTTATAATGAAAAAAAAGTAAAGTACCTTTTTAATGATAAGCCAGTTTAACATGAAATGTAAGAAATAGTTTTTCATAGTGATTATATCTAGAGTATAACTTTAATATTATTACAATACAATTTAATAACAATTAAATTAGTTACAAGTTTCATTCTTTAGGCTGTAATCCAAAAAATGACACCGAGTCCATGAGGTTATACCAAACGAAATACAGATGAAGGTACTTTATTGTTTCTTATATACAACAACTGACAAAAGAAAATAGTACAATCAAATTAAATTCATTTTCACTTCTAGATATGTTAATATGCATTTCCCGATACACGGCACAGGAACTGATATTAATTTTAAAATATGTACACTCTGAAAAAAAGCAATCTACATTTGCAAACAATCACGATGAGAAATAAGCAACAAAGAAAAAAAAAAAAAAAAAAAAAAAAAGTTACACTTAATTTTGAGAAATAAAAAATAACTAACTTAAAGTGCCATTCATATTTCCATTAATGACACACACAGTTCATATTTTTCCTGCTATAAAAAATAGATTTTTAGTAGCTTATTTAAAATCTTTAAACAGTAGTATTTATAACATGGACAGAAATAAAAAGATGACAAACCTTTTAAATAACTAAACATCACACTCTCGAATGATTATTTTAATTATGGCCTTATCATGAATAGAAGTTCAAAATCTAATCATGAATAAAAAGTTTATTTTGAAGATAAATTTGAGGAAATCTGAAGCACTGTGAAAGTTGTGAAACAAAATTTTTATCTACATTTTGTGTCTGTATTATAGTTATAATATTTGCTATGCTTTTAAATATTAATTTAATTTATCAGAAACATTTAATAAAATTTTACTTTTTAAAAATGTAATTAACAGCAGTTTAGCTGAAGGTCAAATCATTTATTTAAAACTTATCTCCAACTGACCTTATTCCTCAGTTTTAAACTTTCTTTCCTTTCAATTCTTTGCCAATCATGTGCTGGTACGATGCATGGGGTGATGTTGCAGGTGCCAGTCATGCACTAGTGCAGGAAAGGCAATACCTCACTGTTTATCCTTCAGTCAGCATTACGTTTTGAGCGTGTATGCTGGTATTGGCATGGAGTGAAGGTTACAAACTAAATGTAAATGTATGTGGTTTCTAATTAATGCAAATTTTCTTTTCGAGCAAAAATTTTACACTAATACTATTCTGAAATATATAGCTTCTAATAATATGATTGTAACTATTTTTGTAATATATAAATGTAATAAATTCGTTTATGATGTATGTATTTGTCTGTGCAATAGTTTCATAAAAAAGCAATGTGCCAGCACATAAAATGGCATTGGGGAAATAATTTTACCTTTAGTGCCAATCACTCTATATTCAGAAATTCTCCGATTAAAGGCGTAGTGATCAATGCGATACAAATAATCATATTTTATTGCCGCTTTTAAATAATATTTCTTATAATAAGTAAATTGGTATATGGGTACAATCTTGTGTCAGGGTAATAACTATCAACACAACTTCATGACTGGCAGCAAAAGTGTTAATAATCTTCCTACCTATGAATACATGTTTTTATTATGGTACTTGTCAAATATTTTCATCATTCAGATATGCATTTTGTGAATCCTGCTTCCTAAATAAGCTCACAATGAAATACATAAAATTATAAGAAATATGATTACTATGAAGATATAAGAAATATGATTACTATGAAGATATAAGAAATATGATTACTATGAAATATGAAATACTTAAGCTCAAGAGCATGATACTTTAACACAACATTAAAAAAACACAAAATATAAACATACATGAAGTAATTAAAATTATTTGAATACATTTTGAATTCAAAAACATTAAATAAAACTGCAATACTTTATTTAAAACTTGCATTAGAATTTTGTGACATTACTCTGCATAAAAGTACAAATATCAAACTTTCTGAATATTTTTTGATATATAAAAAGTATGCTCTATGCCAATATGTTAATCCAGATTACTGTTTCAGTTCAAAGAAAAATCTAAATATTTCAACAGTTGCAAATGTTTATCAAACACACCCAAATACTCATTTTTACATTCATGCCAAATTATGTAGGTTGAACATAATTAATAAATGTAAGAATTTAAACTGTAACACATTACTGTTACCAATTAGTTTAAACTGTAAACATACAGAATTAAATGAAATAGCAGTTGAAAAGCAAAGAAAAAATCTTTTTCCCCCTTCACATAAAAAAGTTGTCATTTTCACTTAAAACACATCAGCTTTTTCAAAGAACCAGGTGTATGTATATATATATATATATTATATATATATATATATATATATATATATATATATATATATATATCTATATACACATATATATAATATAAAAGCATGAGTTCTCACAAAAGTATTAAGTATTTTATATTAGTTTTTTATATAGAATTTTTTAAAGAAAATTTTCTTTCAATATATATCTAAGTATCCTAATACAAAACAATCACTGAATATTCAGCAGGAATAAAAAAATGGAATATAAAATTTTCTGACTTTTTACAACACAGAAGAATCTTCTTTATTACACCAATTAAAAAATAAATTAAGGGAAATCAGAATTTTTTAAGACTAAATAAAAAATGTGCACAATTAAAAATACTTTACCGAAGATAATTAACATAACTACTGAAAACCATACAAACTCTGACAGAAATTAAACACATGGCACAGTCAAAAAAGAAATTAAACACATGGCATAGTCAAAATAGAAAGCTATGAAGATGAAAAACAAAATGTTAATTCTTCTATACTTGCAAAGGTTAAACAGTAATGGAAGGAAAAAGCCTAATTGTTAAATTTTCTTCAGAAATGGAAATTTTCCACTCAATTCTTGAAAGCATCACTACAAATAACATTCAAATAGCTAATTTATTAAATACCAAAACTTCTGTAATTGATAAATCCAAGTTTGCATGTTGCTGATGCTTTATTAAATAAGATTCACATGTATATCATGTAGCTACTGTTTACTAGTAGTTATACAAATACATTTTGGAAATATTGAATATATTAATACTAAAGTAACGCTCTAATAATATCTCAGCAGGCCTACTTATTATCCAAAATAGCTTTCAGGAAACATTTTATATTTTATACCAGAAACTTTTATTCACATTTTATAGAAAAAGAAGACTTACAAAGAGTCTGAGTTTGTCACTTTATTAGGAATATTTACTGCATAGATGCGTGCAAAACTCTGTTCATAATAAATGCAATGCACTGAGACTAATGGCAAAGCATATTTTAAGTGAATACAAATTTCAAAAACAAACTAAAAAATATTTTCTACTGGCAGTGAGGCTACTCTCATTTATAAGAGCACAGTTAACAAATGCTAAAGATAACAAAACTAGATACAAATATCAAAAGTTTCACTTTAAAAATCAATAAAATCATTTGAAAGATTATTTTTCTAAGTGGATGTTATGTCAGTATTTAATATAATCAATCTCAAATTATAGCTGTATTTTTCTATAATCAAATGGCCAAATTTTAAGAACCTAAACGACAACTCACATGAGTAAAATTTATTAGAAACTACACATGTAACAAAAGTAAATGCAATAACTGTTTAGGGATACATAACAGAGTAAACTCAATGAGACGAGCTTGGAAGTTATCTGCAATGCAGAATATACACAATACTTTTTTTAAGAATTACAAAACTAATAATGGTAATTACAGTTCTTTACATGACTACAGCAAACAATAAGCTCCAAAATCTCTGGAACAAAAGATAAAAGAATAAAGGTGATCACAAAAGGTATTTAAATCTAATGGTGCTTAGCATTATGCAGACTTGCACATACATAGCTCAAACCACACTGAAAGTGTTTAGCCTTTAACTAATAGAAAGAATAAGAAAATAAATATAATTAGAAGACAGAATAACATTGAAAAAAGCATATTTTTATTATATAAAAATGATTAAGAAAAGCATATTTTTAATATATAAAAGTTTTATTATATAAAAACATGCTTTTTCAAATGTTATATAAACTAAATAAAAATTCAACTTAATATATCAGCTGAATATAACTGAATGACAAAGTCATTATTAAGTTACATCTTAAAAAGGCATAATACAAATTATAAAATACAATGTACTAGAGAATACAGGTTTTAAATAATTACAATTTTATGAGATATTAAGTGATCTTTTGCAGTTTCTATTAAAAAATCAAATCAGAAACATTTAGTAGAGAAAAGTCAAAGCTGTAACATATCTTTGCGATTACCACAGTTATTAAATATATTCCAAGAATTAATTGAATCTGAGTTAATGCATTAGAAATATTTTCTCCTCTTTCTGAACTTGAGAAAAATGGGTCATAAACACATTCTTAAACTAAAATAAACATAAATTATTTAATTTACATAAAAAAAATCTGCATATAAGAAACTGACTACAGAAAATATGCTAAACATTTCTTCCTTCAAATGCTCAAAAGAAAAGATATTCTTTACATGGTATTTTCCTCTCACTTTTTTTCTGTAAATTATAGTTGAAAGCATTTTTTTAATAGATCAAGAAAGGTCTAAGAGTATATAGATCTATTCAAGGGCAATGTGCAAGAACAACAATAATTCTGTCAATGTCATTTTTACATAACCAAAATCTAAAACAGCTCCATTTCTTCTCATCCAAGTTCTTTCTGCTTATCTGGAAACAGAATAATTTTCAGCAGTCAATAAATAAAAAAATATGTAATTTTATTCTAATATTTATGTGCTTCAGACAGAGGCGCATATATACACATGCATACAGACTCAATCCACTTAGCAAGGAATAAGTGAAAGAAACCACCCCATTAAATCTAACTATGAACATCAACCTGTAATTATATATATATATATCTTCTCTTAGATGATGGTGACAATGAGCAGTGCAGCAGGATGAAATGGTCAGCACAGAGAGATTGTGACATTTATGCCGAGATTTCCATTGTCAGCAAAAATCTGGGCAATATTTGTGTCGAAGACAAGACAGTCGCTGCTCATGATAGCTGGGGTAACTCCCTCGAGGATGCTGCGGGGTGTTGCCTCCCACGTCAGACGACGACGATGACTATATAACTCCAGGCTAATAGGAATAAAGAAAGGAAGGATATCATTTAAAGAAAAAATAATTTGTATCATGTTTAGATTACATGTTATGTGGAACATAAATGCTGTTCATTTTATGCCACATACTTTTCTAAATAAATAGCATTGAGATGATCCTCACCACTATTTAAACATAAAGTGATATAATAACAAAATCTTAAACTGTGATTATTTCAACATTCTAAAACATTCACATATTACACAGTTAAGACAAAATATGGTGATAAGTAGGCTCAGTAGATGAAACAATTTTCGTAATGCTGCAGATAAAGTTAACATGTTTTAAATGAATTCTAACAAATAATGCCTTAAAATTTTGATTACACAGCACATCTGTGAAGTTTTTAAATACAATTTTTTTCATTCAATCATAGCTCGACTCATCAGGTCTTCAGTGATTCTGAGTTTTAGATTTTTCCGGATATTACATCATCAGTTTAAATCTAGTAAGATGGCATGCAGAAATTATAAAATTAAAAATATGAAATCATGATTAATGAAATAATGAGCATTTACTACCTAAAGAGTATCCAAATTTACAAAAAAAGCTTAATACTTATTTTACTTTACTAAACATTTCTTTCATTGCAAGCTGTTAAAATTACTTTGTTTTTCATGCTAATACCTTCTCTTTAATTCTATAAACAGACATAATTTCTTGTTCAGTTACAAAGTTCCACTGTTCAAGTCCTGTAATTGCTATGTCAAGAATTCTGAGTAGCTTGTCAATTAAATTTTTTTTGTTTTCAATAACCTCTCTGTCACTTTCTTCACTATTGTTAGCGGTATTTTCTGGATCTAGAACCATACTACAGATTTTGCCATCAATTGATTGATGATTAGTGCATTGCCATCGCAATGAAAAACTTCTGTTATATCAGCTTCATTTATTACTGCTCCATTATTTCTTCCAAAAATCCATTAATGAGAAAATTTCACCTTTGGTTTGCGATATCTAAAAAACATTCAAATTTGAGGTTATCATCTTCATCATGAAGTACGATAGCTGGCCATACATTATGCCAAGCATTTTTCAAAGTATCTTGAGACACTTCCTCCCACGATCTTGCAATGCTCCACACAGCAGATTTTATTCTAAAATATTTCAAAAATTCTTGAACAGTCTTGCCATTATTCAAAAAATTTAACATAGATTTTAAAAATGCTACTTTATATTTGCACACTATTCCGATATCCATAGGCTGAATGATGGGCGTACAATTTAGAGGAAAGAATAATATGGATACATTATCTTTCACTAAAACTTTAAATTAAGTATGAGCCATACAGTTGTCTAAAATCAGGATAATTTTTGCGCCATCAGGTAAACCAACCGAATTCAAAAGTTGCCGAGCCTCGGGTATGAAACTATTTTCAAACCAATCATTCATTAATGCTTGTGTCATCCATGCTCTTTTATTTGCACGAAAAATAATGGGGAAAATCTTTACTCCTTTAAATGCTCGAGGTTGTGTATTTTTTCCGATTAAGAAAAGTTTGCAGGGTGCATACCCATTTCTGCACATAGAAATTAAGGACTTTTAAGGACCATTAATGAAAAAAAATTGAGGACATATGAGCAAATGGGAACTGAATAAATTCAATTAAAAATATTATTTATTCCTGAACTTCACTTTTGTAATACCATCCTAAAAATAAATAGATCCGTAAGTAGGATGCATTATTATTAAACATAACTTAATTAACATAATAACTTTGAGAATAAAATAAACTTTATGAAATTTAATCAAGTAGCATAAAATATTTTACACTTATAACAGTTGGAGATATGTCAAAGAAGTGACATTTTATTTATGCTTGACTAACAGCTTTACTTTTTTTTTTTTTTTTTTAAGTAGCTGTAAAGTCTTACTGTAAAATTGAAGGGGGGGGGAAAGAGACAAATCGAAACTTGAGTATTTAGCGTGCTCAAAAACATAAGTGTGCCATCCTGCAATCTAAAAGTATTACCAGTTTTCTTTAGTCATATACTTGTTCCCCAATTCCTTAAAAACATGTAAAAACTCATTTAAAAGTGGGTTTTATTTACCCAGTAGGGCATGAAATCTAATCTCTGGGACAAATGCGTCCATTAGGACCAAAAGAGTTAAAGAAGGATATGTTCTTCTTTAGGGCTTAAAAAATGAAATCAAAAAATAGGACAACTTTAATTATATTTTATTTTTTCATTGTCATTTATTTTGCTTTGCATTCAATGAAAATGTTATGCATTAATTGTCAAAAATCTCATTACATTGAACTACTCAGGTATAGTCATCTGGAACAATGAAAATCCACTTTAAATACAATAATCAAATGGGACCAAAAAGTTATGGAAAGTACGAAATACTTTGAAAGATTTCGAACTTCAGATCAATTTATTTTCATAAAATGTTGATACAAACAACAAATTAAGCCCTTTGTAATAAAAATATTTAATTTACAAAAAATTACATCTATTAAAAACATTTTAAAGATGACTGACCATACTGGCTAAATGATCTGAAGGACCTGGCAATCTCCGTGAGGGTTAGTTCATGTCTTTCATTGTTCAATTATAGAAGTGCTTTAAATGTTTGCAATATGCTGATACATACACCTTTTTTTTTGTTCTACAAACTTAATGACAAAATTTAAATGTTCATCCATTTCACTCACTTCTGAATTTCTTTCATTCCTCTTGTCATTATAGACAAATAGTTACTGCAATCTCTATTGTAATAAACAGTGGTTTTTCACTCTGGATATAAAAATGCATCCAAAAGCTGTTACTCTGTGGTAAACTCCAGCTAATTAGAAGATTGTACCAATTTTAGTCCTTTGTTGCATCATAATGTGTAATCTTAATTTTGGTATCCTATTGTGTCAATGTCTAAATGTTAAATGGTGCATTCATCACACTTTGTAAAATTTTTAGATTATTAGTTGATAAAATCCTGAAAAACAAAATTGTTTGATTCAACATTTACTGCACTGGATACAACGAAGTACATATTGATCAATTCAATGAAAATCATATTTGCAATTATTTAAATATTTGAGTAATAGATTACCTACCGATATATGAAGTTTTCTGCTTGTTTCCGAGATCCAATCAATTGTACAATTGCATAAAACTGTTGATGTCCATCTACTTTTTCCTGCTTTTCTAGCACTAGCATAAAATGATGACCAAAACAAGACTGCATCATTACCCAGTCTACAGCACCAGGAAGATTTATATCAGTAGCCAGAAAAACAATATCTTCACCTGGAATTATTATTATAAGATATTTGATGTAAAATGTATATACGGCCCCCCAAAAAAGTAAATACATTAATATATGGGGTGGGGGAAATCAGATTACGCAACTGACTTTTATAATAAAAAGTTGGAAGGGAATTAATATAGGTTTCTTGCAAACAAAACTGGTTCAAAATAGATAAAACTATCAGTATTTTTTTTTTTTTTTAAATTATCTGAACTGCAATGAAGTACTATTATCCATAACTTAGATAAAACTTTATTTTTTGCACGACTGACAATTTTAGACTTAGTTACCATGTTAAATGCATATATAAAACTTACTACAAATTATTTCAAGGCAAAAATAAAATGTAACAAAATGGAAACCGGTAAAAGAAATCAAATAAAATGAAACCAATTACAGAATATATAATGCAGCATAAAAAAATTACACAAACAAATATTAAAACTTGTGTTACTCTAATGATTTTGCAGTTAAGAACATGGAACATGTACAAGATGTTTGTCATACCTCACCTCATGTTTTCAAAATGCATAATAACTTATTTCAGCAAAAATAAATTTAAATAATAACATAAGAAATATGATATAAAGTGGTGCAGGGGGAAAGTGTAACTTTTTTGAGATATGTACAAAAAATAAGCAAGGTGTGTAGTCTCCCTGACAAAAATGCATGTTTCACAATAATTTTCCATACTGAGTATTAGATTTTCCAGTAGTTCCTATGACAACAAAGTGAATCCCACAAATGTGATCTTAAATTTAAATCTAGATGCTGGAAAGAACAATCAGTCATTACTGCAGTAGGATGGGGAACAAGAATTATGATTCACTAAGAAAACGTTATTACCAAATGCACCTCCGAACAATTTGACATTAAGAAGAAGAACCTCATCTAAATATATTTCAGCATTCATAGTTGCATTAGTAAAAATTCATAGACCAGTCCATCATTCAAAATGATACTCATTGATATCATGGTACCACCATCTTCGTAACAATGCTTTTCATCGACATTTTCTAGCTTACTGCCTGTGTTTTGCTTCCTTCAGACTGTAAAATATCTGGAATCCCTCTCCAGATAAAAATGTGATTCATCAGTAAACACACCTTGTCTCTTGCTGTGATACTACAAGCACAACCTCTGTACCAATGCACCTGAGAAATTTTGAAGCCTTAGTTATCATGGGTTTTTTTCATACAAACCATTTTTATACAGCTTGTCACTTATGGTACATTTGGATAGTCGAGGTCCTACAACTGCAGCAAACTTTCTTGCAATCTAGGAGATTTCAGTTGTCTATTTCTTTGAGAGTTTATTACAGCAAGATTTTTGGTTTGGTTTATCATACAGCAAAGCCTTGAGGACTAAATGGATGGATGCCTTCATGGAGGACTTTCTAAGGAAAACTGGCTCATATACATGTTACACATGGAGAAAAACCATGAAGATGCCCATGCAGCCAGCCCTTTTGCAGGGTCCGAACCTCAGACTGAACTACCAATGCTCAGCAATTTTACTGCTCAGCCACTGGTGGGCCATAATACGTTTTAGATTTTCACCTGGTTGTCAACACATAATCTTAAAACCCATTTACAGATTCTTGACCTGATAGTATATAGAACCTTACTACTTTAGTACTATATTCTAGCTTCATGTAGAGAGATGACTTACCATCCAGTCTTTCAGTGAAAATAACTCTGAACTCTGAAGATTGTTTAAAATAAAACTTTTAATTAGTGCTTCAACTTAACAACTCATATGTAATTAATTGAACAAATCATCACTTGTGGGATTTAACAGAATATAAAAGTCAAGGTTTAAACATTTAAAGTATAAATTCACAAAGCTTCACTGTAGCTTTGACTTAGAATCATGCAAGCAAACACGATTATCAAAGGCTAAAGCTAGAATTGGGGCAAAAAGAATTCAGAGAAGCTTGGCAGCTGCTGCCAGAAGCTCTCTCTTAACACTTTTGCTGCCGATTTCTGTTCATTTCTGTACACATTTTTTCTTGCATTTCATTTAAACTTAGTTCCTTGAATTTCATTAGAGATATATTTCTCATTCAATTAATTCAGTTCTCACTTTGCAGCAAGGCAAAAATACATAAAAACTCAAAGTACCTTCATTAAAAAATGAAAGATATAGAAAAACACCAAATACAGTTAGAATAAATAATAAAAAAAAAATTACAATTAAAATTACAGCTTCTATGCAAAAACAAGCAATATTTCCAGCAGGCAAGAAGGCATACTTTTCAGTGCACAAAATTAAAAGTTTCCTTTTGGTTCCACTCAGCAAAAAGACACTAAAGGTGCAGAAAGACTTAATTCATTATTCTGCCAAGTTTCAAATCTAAACAAATGTGGCTACTATGATTCAGAAAAAAAAAAAAAAAAAAAAAAGATTTAGGTGCACTTAAATAAATTTTATATTGCTTATAATTCTATAACTATTGCATGCAGATTAATTAAAGGCACAAAAACCATAACTGGAAGATAAGAACAACATAATTCCATCATTTTTAAATTGCAGCTGATTGCAACCAAAAAGTGAGATGCACAACTAAATGTTATAGCAGTCCTATATACAAAATTTCAATGTTCTGAGGCTATTCATTTTTGAGTTATGCTAGATAACTACATCCATACATATATACTGACATAAAGGAAAAAAGCTCTTCTGAATCCATTTTAAATCCTTTTTGCAACCCATTTTAAGAAAAAGAACCTTAATCTCTCCTTACGTAGAAATGTGACACAAAAACATTGTTAAACTGCATCTGATAGCGGTCAAAATGGATATTTCCGTTGAAATTTGATATCCAAAAATTTTCACAATTATAATACTCCCTTTACTTTGTGGAAGAAAGTAAAAATAATCAAACCACAAATCATATATAATAAGGAATTTTTGAAAACATGAGAACTTGCATTTTATTCAAGAGATTATATAGTGTTATAATATTTTTAAAAACATCATCGAAAAATTCCCAGATCTCCGAATTAAAATTTTTCTACAAAAACTGATCTTAAAATTGGTTGATAAGTCACCAAATTTTGAGCCGTTTAATAAAAGAATTCACATCCTCAAAAGTGAGAGCTCTTCATTAGAAAAAAATTAAATAATTTTGAAATGCTTATGTTTTTATTCCTTGCTCAGAAACTCCAGTATCCCACCATTTATATTAGAAATAGAAACAAATTACTGCCCATTCACCCAATCAAAAGATAATTATATTTGTCAGTGAATCGCCAAAAATATTCCTCCAAAGTGATAATTCCTGGGGGTCCTGCAACAAGCTGACCACTTGTTTCGGGGCATATGCTTACGCACCCTGGGCCTACGGTCAAGAAAGCAGATTTCGGGGTACTGCAGGCTTTGGCATATTAGGGCTGTTTGCGCTACTGAGTTTAGAGTTTAAAGTGATAATTCACACTCAAAATAGCAGTCGTAAAAGCAAGATAGAAAAGTCCAAATGATTAAAATTAAGGGCCTTCTGAGGACATTTAACCTTCTAAAACCGGGCCGAAATTCTCATAACATAGCCTTCAGACCGGCACGATCCGAAACAGTTTTGCCCCCTCTTTGACATTTTCCTAATGAGAAAAGTCGTTAGTCCCCCTCCATGGATGAAGTAAAATTTACATGTTTGTCGGACGCTTACGTCCCATAGTAGAGGGGTTGCTAGATTTGCAATTTTTTCGATGATTATTTTGCTTTCATTTAAATGAAGTTCTAAATAAATATGCAGTACTGGATGCATATCCAGTGCACAATTTATTTAGAACAAAATGTATGCAATGTTTATATTTCACTCACTATTTCTGATCAATCTCGTAAATAATTTGTGAATTTTTTAACTTCATTTATATTTGCGTATTTTCGTATTAGAAATTAGAGAACGAGAACAAAATTTAACAAAATATAGTAAATACGGACTAGCTTTGTAAGTCTGCAGGCTGGAATGCGATTTTTAATAACATATTTTCATTAACAAAATAATGGTAATGACAAATTTAATAAAATAATAATAATAATAATATTTATTACCATTAGATGATTAGAATGAGATTCAATACAATTAGATTTTGAGATGAACTTACAGCAATAATAAAGCTTTACATAACAATAACAGAGATTTAAATCTGCTTTTTTCGATAATTTTGTCATTATAATATAAAAATCAAAATCCGAGATACATTGGTTGCATTTCATCATTTAACTTTAACAAATATTACATTGGACTATCAGGCAAAGGAGGTATATCTTTAATGAAAATTTTTCTTTGTAAAATTGGCTTTTGTTTATGTTAGCAGAGAAAAAAAATCCGTGACCTATACATGCAATCATCAAAAGAATTTTGAGAACAGTTTTAAATGTTCATGAAGAATTAATTATACGTCAATTTCTTTTCATAGGTAGAAATTTCGTCTAAAACCATCGTTATATCCAAAGATTGAAGTCTATTTCATTTTCAACGAATATTCTATTTGTGCATAATATATTTTCTAATTTATTTTAGAAAGAGTAATCTTTCACGTTTTCAAAAGAATAAAGACATACTGGGTGTTGACACAATGTAATAAATCTGTTTTTCCTATTTCTTCCAGTAATGAAAACGATTACTCTGGAATATTTTCAAAGCAAAATTAAGAAAACCGTTTACGCCAAATTTTGCATAAAGTATCTTCTCGTGTATTTTTTTTATTTAAAGTGTGGAATTTTCTCTTTGAAAATATCAAAAATCATGAACGGAGCAAAATTTATTCATGGGAAATAACTTTGAAATGCAATAATTCCATCGTAATATGAAATAGTGGAGAAAAGTGCAATACAGTTTATTTATTCACAAATAATCCCCCTCATATGCATAATTAATGTACTGTCAATTGAGAAATATAGGTTAGTAAATTAAACTGTTTTTTTTAATACTTTTCCTTTATCAATATTTTTACGGGCTCTTCAGTAGAGCGGTAAAGGTGGCTGAACACTTGTA